AAAAAAAAAAAAAAAAAAAAAAAAAAAAAAAGCTCTAGTGGAAATACTGGTGTTCTTCTGACCTAGCACTTCATTGCCAATGCAATATTTATAATTAATTTATTGAATACATACATCTGTTTATTTTGCTACTGTTATTTATGCTCAAAATTCTATTTATATACTTCTGAAGGTGGGTTTTTTAGTTGTTACAAATCTCATGAAGCTTTGTAATCAAGAGAATTTTAGCCAACAATAGCCAATTTTTAACCAATTTTTAAATAGCCGGAATTCTAGCCAATTTTTAAATTTCTGTACCTTTTCATTAGTGTAATGTGTACATTTCAATAAAAGAGAAAATCATCTTCAACACTGAAATCTGCTTGACTCTTTTGTCTCTCTCCAAGTGCCATATCCACACATCTTTTAAATACCTCCAGAGATGGTGACTCAACCACTTCCTTTGACAAAGAAATCCAAAAATCCTATGGGTAGAAGGCTCCTCCCATTTAAAAATGGAAACCATTCTAACCAGTGCTGCCAGGGAGAAAAGTGGTGAAAAATATGTCAGTTTCTGGCAGGAAAAGACCCTGAATGTTTCCATTTGGAAATGCTGTGAGACACAGGAACAGCAGATTTCTTGGCTGGTCAACATTGCCCATGGTGTTTTCCCATTCTCTTTTGTGCTGAGCCACTGCCACACATCCGGAGGGTTCCCACTCCTTGTGTGCTGGAAGAGGTAGTTCTGATTTTCTTTGTTTTATTCCAAAGCTTTTCAGATTTAAGGGGGTTTCATTTCTGGTTTCGTTTGATCAGCCACTGTATTTTCTTTGAATGCTTTTCAAGACCTTTCTTTAAAAAACAAACAAACAAACAAACAAAAAAAACCCAGAAAACAAAATAAAATAAGAATGAACTTTTAAAGTTTGGGCAAGAAAAGAAAAGTCACTTTTACTCTTCTACTAAAAAATGGCACAGATTTGACAGGAAACATGGCAAATAATGGAGTTTGGAGGGTACACAGTTTAACTGAACCAGTGAGAGATTTTTTAAGTGGGTGTAACATTGGCAATGTTTCTCAAGGGTGAAAAGATAGGCAACCTTACATTTTGGGAACATCATACTGAGCTCTCTCGTGACCCTATTTGCTGACACCTTTGGCTTACATTCTTCCACCGGCGGCACGATGATTTTTCCCTGCAACAGCATGATTAGAGGTTGGTTCAATATTTATTCAGACAGAGAGAAGAATGCCAGGAGCTAAATTAACCCACACCACTTCCTGGAGCGCTTCAGTTTTCATCGTCGTTTTCCCATCCCAGCTCTGACCAAACCTGGCTGTTTTGCTTACAAAATCTGACAAGATCTCGGCTTGAGGTGGGAGGATTGCTGGGAAATGCCTGCGACACCTGACTCGGTCGGGAACCGGGTGTGCAAAACCTCCAAAAAGCACCTTTGGTTCTGTGGGAATGTAAACACCACCAGCAGCCGTCAGCACAGCCCTGTCCCCTGCCCATCACAGCTCCTCAAAGGCAGGAGGACAGCGGCGCTGCTTTCATTTGCAGCAGCACATTTTACAGCCCTGAAAGGTTTTTAAAGCTCAGGTGTCAAATGTCTCCTTGGGAAGTCTCAGCTGGAAGTTGTGATTTGCAAATACGAGTTGTTAGAGAAGCTGAGAGGCTGAAGGAAAGGAGATACTGAGCGTCTTCATTTCTTTCATTGGAGGAAGTGTAAAAACGTATAAATCAATTCAAAGTCACAGTGTCCACTTTACCTCTGCTCAAATCACTGAAACTGATGGAAAATTTGGGGGCCTCTCTTTCTACTCTGCCAGTGTCCTTTGCATATGAATGGGGAACAACCTGATAAATTAAATAAAATTTCTCTTTTTTACCTCAAAAATATACATATTCCAACACCAGGGTGGCAGAATAGTGTGACCCAGAGCCACATTTTCATTAAGTATCTGGAAAGCAATAGTATAAGTTGACTTTAAAACAAGTGCTTGTAAATGTTTCCTTTGACCAGTGTTGATCTGTAACAACTAGTATTTTAATAAAGCAGCCTAGAACGGCACACTACAGTTTGAGTGGGTATTAACACCAAAAATATTTTCGTTTTAGAATCATAGACTGGTTTGGGTTGGAACGGACTTTAAAGATCGTTTCATTCCAGGGGCAGGGACACCTTCCGACGTTGCTCGGAGCCTCATCCAATCTGGCTCTGGACACTTTCCAACTTCTCTGGGCAACCTGTGCCAGGACCGCATCGCCCTCACAGGGAAAAACTGTGGGCATCTGCACCAAAAATACACTTCTTGAGAGCCACAGCTACCAGCGTGACGTGAGAGAGATGTGCAAACTCCATCATTCCGTGCCCGGCGATAGCAGCCGAGAAAACGGCGTGAAGCTGTGTGGGGGCAGGCTCGGGTCGGACACCGGGAGAAGGCTCCTCAACCTCACTCACAGCGCCACGGCTGGCGGAGCTCAGGGGGCGTCTGGACAACGCTTAGAGGCTCGGGGTGGGATTTTTGGGACGCGGGGCGGGATTTTTGGGACGCGGGGCGGGATTTTTGGGACGCGGGGCGGGATTTTTGGGACGCGGGGCGGGATTTTTGGGACACCCGAGCTTCCTCCGCGCACAGCCGCGGCCGGACTCCGCTCTGTGGCGGGGCTCGCGCGCCCCCTGGCGGCCGCACGCCGCAGCCGCGTGTGGGCGCGGCTTCGCCGCCAGGGGGCGCGCCCTGGGCGCGCGAGCCCCGCCCCCTCGCGCGCGCCGTCCGCTCCCGGCGTGCCCCGCGCCGCCATGGCCGACCTGTTCGATGGGATCGTCATGGCCGAGCAGAGGTGAGGGCACGGAGGCACTCCGCCGGGCCTCTGCTTCCCTCTGCGAGCTGCCAGCGGAGCGCCAGGGAAAGAAGGCGAGCGCTGAGCCCGAGGAGGAGGGCGGGGAGGGTTCGCCTCTCTGCGCATTCTGAGAGCCTGAGCAGCGGGGAGCGCCTGGGGTTGTGTCGGGGTTGGATGTCAGGGAACGCTTCTTCATCCAGAGCATGGTCGGGCGCTGGAATAGGCTGCCAAGGGATTGGTCTCCGCACAGAGTGGGACCGGCCGGGTTGATGGGCTGAGGTCAGCAAGGCCAAGTGCCGGGTCCTTGGGCCGCCTCAACCCCTGCAGCGTTCCAGGATGGTGGGAGAGTTCCTGAAAGCATCCCAGAGGGAAAAGGGTTGGGGGTGCTGGCCAGAAACTGCTGAACACGAGCCCAGGTGTGCTCGGATGGCCAAGAAGGATGATGGCATCCTGGCATGTGTCAGCAGTAGTGTGGCTAGCAGGACCAGGGCAGTGACTGTCCCCCTGTTCTGGGCACTGCTGAGGCCCTACCTTGAATTGTGGGGTCAGTTTTGGGCACCTTAATCCAAGACATTGAGTTGCTGGAGTGTGTCCAGAGAAGGGAATTGAGCTGGGGCAGGCTCTGGAGCACAAGTCTGATGAGAAGCAGCTGAGGGAGCTGGGCGGGCTCAGCCTGGAGAAAAGGAGGCTCAGGGAGAACCTTCTCCCTCTCTACCACTCCCTGACAGGAGCCCCCATGTGGGGCCAGACTTTACGTCCTGGTAGCAAGTGACAGGACAGAAGGAAGTGCCCTTGAGCTGCACCAAAGGAGGTTTAATTTGGATATAAGGAGGAATTAATGGAAAATGTTGCCAGGCATTGCTGAGGGAGCTGCTGGAGTCACCATTTCTGGGGGTGTCCAAGGAACAGCTGGATATAGCACTCAGGGCTCTGGTCTGGTTGACACAGTGGTGATCATTCAAAGGCTGGGCTGGATGATTTCAGAGGTCTTTCCCAACCAAGACAAGCCTGTGATTTTGGAATTTGAATTTATTTTATGTGATATTTCTAAGCTTTGGAGACGATGCACTTTTTTCTTGTCCAGAGCTGCTCGTGTCCAGTGTGAGCTTGACAGGAGATTAAGCAAGCTGTGATTCTGCACTCCCAGGTTCCAAGGGGGGTCTGGACAGGAGATTAAGCAAG